TTCTGTCAGAGTCAAGCCCATGATACCTCAGTGTAGTGCACTAGTTAAACATTGATTTCCTTTACTCTTAGATTTGCATGAATACTTTCTTATCTTTAACCAATAAAGGATTTAGTGCTACTATGAATTCAGATAATGAACTAAATGATTAACAAAACTTGACAAAGTTAGATTTCTTCTACATAATTTGCAAGTCTTGCAAGAGCTAACTTCCACAAGGCAAGCAGCACTTATAACTAAGTAAGGGAGGTCAGCACTAGCTTTGACACAAAGAGCAATCAGGGCAGAAAACCCACAATGAGATTTTTTTTTTGTGACTAGGGTGATGAATTTGTAGATGCAGCAAATTCAGCTAGGGTGATGAATTTGTAGATGCAGCAAATTCAGCACATGTGCACACATCTGCCCAGGGTGTGTCTTTGAAAATGGTTTACTGGTGCTTTTGGAAAAGGAGAGCTAGGAAATATCTCTCACTCATGCACCATGTCTGATATCACTGTCTTCTACATTGATCTCAGAGCTGCTTTTGTACAGAGAGCATTGGGATCTGCTTCTTGCCGCATTCGGTAGAGAGGGCAGTAGTACTCATCATGCAATTCCTTCTGCACGTATTTCTCATGCACTTTCTTGCTGGCTAAGTCCTTGAAATATTTTACAAGCTTTATAAAATTCATCATTAGGCAGAGTTAAAAAACACTCTGGATCCTCAGGGCAATGAAAGCAGCATCCTGAAAAAGCAGTGGAAAAACAGATCTGAAAATCTGGTGTCTGGTGATTCTGCTAGACAAATCCATGTCTGACTTGATCAAGTGGTGGCAAGTCTTGGCCCATATGGGAAGCTGGACTAGAAGGAACCCTCAGCATCCCCTTCAAACAGATGGTTTTGTGATGCTGTGGCTTGGACTGCAGGAAAATGGGAAGAAGAGACCAACACCTTCCGTAGAGAGTGGAACTCATAGTCCTCAGTAATTCCTTATCTACTCTGTGCTGGGGCACATGGGGGACATGTTTAGTGTGACTAGGACCGATAGGAAAGCAGCAATGTTCAAATCAGCTGCAAATGAGAATGATGATTTTCAGCAGGACTCCTCAAAGCCTGACTTTCTGCTGGGTCCCTTCCCCCATGCCCAGGACAGTATTATGGTCTCTCCTGCTCTGCAACCCTGTGGTGGCAGCCAGATCAGAGGCTCAAGGCAGCAGGGGCTAAGGAGCAAGAGCAAAGATCCCAAACCCATGCTAAAACTTGCATGAGATCTTGAACATGACCCAGGTTGTTTGTGCCCTGCTATCATAGTGTACCAAGGCAAGGCCTGTAACATTATTTGTTTAATGTCACTCAACAAAAGCAACAGGGCTCTGTAGCTTGGTGCTTGCTAGAGCTTTATGCTGGGCTAATGCCTCTGTGGTCTTTCTGTAGAAACCACATCCTTTAATCAGAAGTGAAGGCTGACAATTTACAAGGCAAATGTTCCTCTCTGTGGATGAGCAGCAGAAATCAGTGCTGGCACCCACCAACCTACAGAGCGGTGCAGTGAGAGAAAAGTACAGCTCGGTCTCCTCAGGCTTGTTGTGATCATTCATCTTAAAACCACTGTTTTCTACCCGTGTGCTGACAGAAATCTTCCCCAGCAACAGTATGAGCTAGATCAACCAGATCTGTAAAATGATACAGTTGAAAAATACTCCCAGCTGGGGTGGGAGATGAAACAGGCTGAGGGTCAAAAGGCCCTTGAAGAAGCCCAGAGGACTGTTACTTGAAGAATGGTCCAGAGGAAAGCCAGAGCCTCCAGCCAGATGCTGCAGTTAGCAGCTCTTGTACCTCTCCATATCTTGGATCTCTCTTTCTTTGGCATTGGGATGTGCTTAGACACAGGGAGCAGAGAAGCAGTTTTTCATTCCATGAAGTGTAGGAGGAGCAGTGTTGTTTCCCAAAATTACCAGCATGAAGTCATCCATCACCTCTGTCTGAGGACAAACTGAGCGAATGAAACTGTTGAGAGTAACCTGAATCTTTAGTTGTACTCCTTCAGCGAGTTGTTCTCCTGCACCACTGTGCAGGCACTATGTGGAGCAGCAAGTTCATGACTCAGAAAATGCTCACCTCTGCTCCCAATCACACAGGCTTTTTTTTTCTCACTCTCCCAGGCACATGACAAGAGGATTGTCACTGAAGCATATTGGGGGATAGTGAGTATTTAGGGTTGAAATACACTTGGAGACAGAGATATGTGTGTGCTTGGTGAAACACTAGGGCAAAAGTCTTCAATGTAGGCAGATTTTCCTTGCAAGAGGAAGTTAAGTAACAAATGAAACATGAACTCAAGTCCACTTCTGAGCCATAGAATGACTGAAGATAACATTCTTACTTAGCAAGCCTGATCCTCGGGTGTACCTATGGCAAAACTTGCTCTCCTGACAGATTTTTTAGGCTCTTTCAGTGGCTCCATAATCCCACCTGCTCTGGACTACTGTCAGTCCTGTAGAGCAGTGCACCAGCATGAGATCTGTCTTCTGTGTAGTGCGTCAACGGTGCTGAGTGCAGCAACACTGCTGGAGGGAGGCAGGTGTCAGAAAGGGAACAGGTGAATCTTTGGAGGCTTTATTATTGGTATTGGTTGGGTAGCTAGAGGTATGCTTCAGCTTAGCTGAGCCTTAAACTGATCTAGCAAGACGTGGTGGAAACGAGCAATGCTGTACAGCACTGCAGAGGGTAGTCAAACCGGAGGCAATTAATATGGTGACTTAACAGCTCCACTATAAATCATATTTATAAACCATAAAAGCAGGCTTTTCCTGCATTCACAACAGCAAGGAGTCCGGGAAGAGTGAGCTTATTTATAAAGACAACAGTGCTTGGGAACAGGAGGCTGAGCAGAAGCCTTGACAACAAGCTGAAGGAAATCCGAACATCCTGCTTTCACACATTCCTCTAGCTGGGAGCACATGGCAGCCCAGAGAGGCAACCCGATGGGCAACGGGCAACCCCAGCGGCTGCCGCGGCCCTCGTGGGCCTCTGAAGGTGTGAGATCAGTGCGGCAGCGTCACCCGTGGAGGGGCTCCCAGGCCTGCCCCTGACCCCAGCTGACCCACCTGGACTGGAACCATCCCCTGGGCGTGATGACCTTTCCCGAAGGTGGGAGGGCGGGAGAGTGGGTGCTGCCTCCCACCCCCCAGCCGTACCCCTCTGTGCCAGGGATATACAGGGGCTGCGGGCAGTTCACTGGGCACCTCGTGTCCGGTGCCCGTTGCCCCCTTCGGTGGTTTCCAACAAGAACAATGGTGCTTCCCTCCCTCCTCCTCCTCCTGCTCTCCCCGCCCCAGGAGGGCGGGATAACAGCGCGGGGCAGCCCTCAGCATCCCGGCGCTCCGCCGCGCCGCCAGCCCGG